TAACACAGGAGCGCACTTAAGAGGTCGCGGGCGACATGTCATTATCATTTGTATTAGTTTATATTGGCTGAAAGGGATGAAAGGGCAACCAAGGCTATTGCCTTACGTTACTTAATATTGAATTAGTTTTGCTTTGCAAAGGGCTTCTGATTTCAGCTCCTGAGTGTAAATAGTTTTCCTTTCAGCGTGGATTGCAAAGTTTCAGAACAGCGGAGCACGAACGTGCTCGTCGCTGCAGATTATGTTCCTCCGTCTCTCGTGATGCCAGTAAGTCTCTTGAAATTTCCTAAGACCTCGTCGTGCTGCAAGTGAAGTGGGCTTTAAGCTCGACCTTGGGACGGTGGATTAGTTTGGATCACACTGTGTGCTGCTGAATGAGGGATCCGCGGGATGAGGGCGTCGTGCTGCTGCTGCAGCAGTCGCAGGGCTCCGTGCAGCCTCTGTGCAGCCGGCGGCTGCAGCTCAGTCGTACGGGTTTGCTTTTTGCTTTGGAAATCTATCACCTTGTGGTTGGTGTTTGTGGAATCGCCGCCTTTGAGGGCGCGTGCAGCAAGCAGGCGGGCCGGGGACGGGTTTTGCCCGCGTGCATCTCGTGCAGCAGCGCGATGCTGCTGCTGCTGCTGCTGCTGCTGGGTGCGTCGCGCTCGCCGCAGAGATCGATCACAGCTGCTGCCCGCGCGCTGTATTGACCGACCGCCTAAATACTTCTCATTTGAGGAAGTGCAGCATGGATAATTAAGCAATGTGCTCTGCAAGTTAGTGATCGGCTCCTCACGGAGGGCCGGTAATGAATAAAAAGTGCATTAAGCAAATTAAACTCCCGAAGCCTCAAGTTCTGCCTGTCGCATTGCTGCTCTGAACTGGGCTGCAGTCTGGAAGAATTCTGCCATCCAAAAGCGTCTGGGAGCTGCACCTTTGCTTGGCTCTTTGCAGGAGGGAGGAGGCTGGTGCTGCTGCTCTGCCCCAGGGCTCTGCTCTGCCTCTGGGTCCCATTGAGAGCAGGGTTTAATTTTGACAGTCCCATGCTCCAGCCAGGAGCCTCCTGCCAGCAGGAACATGCTGCAAAATCCCTGTTTGCCGCCCTAACTTTCGTGGAGGAGAAGCTGCCAAGTGCAGCCTTGGATGGGAGCCATTTATTTGTAGCTCACTCAGTCTTTGCTTAAAGAAAGCCAGCACAGAATTAGCTTTTGCATAGTGTTTCCATCAAAGCATTTGATCCTTGTTTCTGTGAGATAATCCTAAGAACTTCTTATTTTGAGAATAGAAGACCATGATGGATTTAATTCATAAAGGGAAGCAGCCGTAAGGAATGTAAATGTAAGAGCCTGATAAGGTAGGATTTCCTGTTGCTATGACAACCCCTGGGTCATGAGCCTGGGAAAATACGAAGTAAGTCCTGGAGCTGTGAAGATGATTAGAAAATTTAACTGTCATTCTTCATTTGGAGTTGATGGCAAACATTATTTACTTAAGTTTATCTCCAGGCAGCCGAGGAGCCTTTCTTCCCCTCTCCGATCTGAGCCTTGGATCGCAGAGGAGCGTGTGGAGCGCCCGACGCGCGGAGCGTGCGCTCCATCGTTGTGGCGAGCGGACGGCGCGGGATCGCCGGGAACGCGGGCGCGCTGCGTCCCGGGAAGCTGCACGCGGGAATGGGAACGGGAACGTCCGCGCCGGGGCCGGGGCC